GGATTCCCTTATTTCATATGACTGATAATACAATAAGTCCAGCAAAGATAAATCAAATCTTAATTATAAAGAGTTGAAACCCATATGGGAATAGTTGGGAAAGGGAACATGCAAATAATGCACATATATTAGCTTAATTAAACCTTGATATGACAGTTTTTCCTCGGTACTCTTGAATTAAATACAGAAGTGCAGAAATACTATTATTCTGATAACACATGGGAACAATGGACAAAGGCTTGCCAAACCAGTCCCATTGCAGATAAATATAGAATGAATCCATGATGAACTTCAGATGTAGACAGGCTGTGAGTGTTCATATGCTCTGGCATCTGGACAAGTTACAAGAACAGTGGAGCATGAAAGTGGGAAAATCCAGAGAGCTTCAGAACATTTCAAACATATATTGCTTATTATTAGTTCATCAGGAGCTTCAAGCTGTCAGCTGTTTCCTTAGTAAACTGTTGTTCTGTTTTGATTTATCTCTATCATTTATTCACACTAAAGACCCAATGCCAAGTATTTTTTTACATGCTAACTTGTTAGTGCCAGTTTATTCACCATTAATATAATTTGTATGTCAGGAACCTGTGTAGTAAAGATGATACAGTATTAAACTACATCTGAAAGTAATGCTTTTCAGGTAATGCTAGAAGGAAAAGGCTGGTTGTTTTTAGTTCAAAATGTAATGCCCCTTTCCATATTACAGTTATTTAACATTATTTGGCTAATACAATGGGGCTGATATTGGAAGCAGTTTACAATTAATATTTATTCTAATAACCTAGAACATGACAGCTTAGTTCTTTGATTCTGCCTGACACTTACACGAGCTCTTGAGTGAGTAGGGGAAGGCTTTTTATGCGGCCCCTGCATTGCAATCAGAAGACCATGGCCCTGGGCCAGAGAGAGAGAGAGAGGGCATAGCTTAAACCAGTGATTCTCAACCAGGGTGCCGTCAGATCTTTTGAAGGGTGCCTCAATATGTGAGGAGATTAGGGAACCAGAGAAGCACAGGCTCAGACCAATCCCTCCCTGGCTGATTCCCCCCAGCCTCCTGCCTGGCCTATCTGCAAGTAAGGAGTGTAATATATAAATTTGTTTTTGAAATTGGGTGCCACTCAGTTCACAGAAGTTACGGAGGAAGAAGTGCCTCAAGTCCAGTGAGGGGTATCTCAAGTCCAGAAAGGTTGAGAACCACTGGCCTAAACTCATCATGGCTAAGCTGGGAGGTGGGGGGTGGAGGATAACAAAAATACAAGGGAAACTAAATGACCTTGGTAATCCATGAACAGTGTGAATATTCTACAAACTCAGGTCTGACTCCCATTCCCTGTTTCCAGCTCCCCCAGCTGATGTGCATTGACAGTGCAGAGGGAACAACATTCCAACCCATGAAGTGGTAGGGAAGAGTTTCTTGATAGCAGTCCTTCCTGGATGTTTAAGAAGCATCACTGATACATTGGATTTCTAGGAGCTTTCTGGTCAATTGCAACTTCCAGAGAGAGGTTGGGCATTTAAAGTGAGACACAGCTATGGAGAGGGGCATAATTCCTCAGACTGCTTTGTGGGTATTAGGGAGGAGGAAAGGTGTTTGGAGGAGAAAACGTTCAAAGTTAACATCTAGTTCCTTGTGTTGTTGAAGGGACCAACTCCAACAGACTGTTAGAGACCTATGCAATAGGATATAGTCTTGTTTAAAGGAAAGGCTCCCACTGGTTCAAGTGTTTTATGCATATGTGCAGTGAGCTCTAAGTCCACTTCTAATCAAGTCCTGCTTTTTCAAACAAAGTTATAATTATAGGTGTATCACCTGTGATTAGAGTGAATTCAAAGCAAAGTGCTATACCAGGGCGGCTAACTGTTATTTTCTTTAAGTCTTTGGGGAAGTCACATTTTGAAAGAGCAATATACTAGATTTCAAGAGCATGTGGGAGACTAGGGTCTATAAAGGGTTTGAGGGCATATAAAAAGTGAAAGATGTTGGATGGACAGCCCTTGTAACTGAGACCTTCTGTCTGTTGGTAGGTTCAGTGTAGAAAACAGCAGCATTGTCATTCACTTCCTTCTCCTTGGGAGGTATCTTTGCCTTGTTTCCTGGCTGAGGCTATCTCTGTATGTTAGAAAAGAGTTTGTTTCCCTTGGCCTATTCACTCTTTAGCTTGTCAGCTGAGCAGCCAAAGGGAGCCAGTTAGTGGTGATGACAGCTGAGTTTCTGTGAAGTATTTTGTGACTCCTAGTAGGAATTAGGCTGATACCACAATGAACTTTGGTCACTGCTGATACCCACGACCCATGACAAAATGCTGTGTATCTTATTGCTTTTTACTCAGCTGTCAAATCCCCTTTAAGGTTATGGTTTTGATATGCTAGTCAGGAAATAGGGAGAGTTTTCACTGAACGTACCAATTCAGTGACAGAAATGTTCTGGTATAAATAGAAACTTCAGCAGTTAATAAAACATGGTCATAAACAACCCACCTTGGCCCCTTGCCAATGATTAGTCCTTGCTGCTACTATATGAGAAAACATAGGTTTAATTTTTGGAGTAAGACTTTGGCTCTGCTAGTCAGTAGGCTCCAGGAGCACTAAAGAGGCTACACACTTGCAACCTGTGGTGAGGAAAAGGCCTCTTCTGTCTGAGTTAGCAGCACTGTTGATGAAGAAGTATTTAAAAATGAATAGTCTGCAGGTGGTTTGATTGTATTGTAAACAGCAACTGGGTCTAAGTGAAAAATCCAAAAGCCAAATTCATCCCCAATAAAACAACACTCACTTCAGTGAATTTGGTCCAAGTAGCCTACAGAAAATGCAGGGTCCCAGCAACACACTAAACACATATAGGTTCATTAATATGCTGTAGTTATGGCACGTTAAGTTTAGTACTTGGATAACCAAGTACTAAATCAATGCACAGTACCTGGCATTACTGTACAGTAGCGCTGGCACACAGCTTTTTAGTGATGCTAACTGCGTAGTAGCCTGTGACTGCTCAGGAGTATATTAGCACAGGTTTTGTCCTGCATGCTACTGCTCAGTAAAATTAGGCTACTGCGCAGTGCAGTTAGCATCTTGTGTAGACGCACCCAGTACATCAGATGAGCCTCAGTGCTGAAGCCATAATGGCATTAGCATTACAAAAGCCTGTCATAAAGCATTTCCTCTTCAGTCCCTTAAAGCCAGTCCTGCCATCGGGTAAGCCCTAGGCATGAAAGGAGTGATTTAAAGACGTTAAGTCTGGTTTCATTCTCACACTGTAAATTACAAATAACTCCACTAGTTAGCAGGATGACATCAGCATGAGACTGGTGTGTGCCAAAGTGGGTGTTCAGCTCCGTTGTTGCTGCTTTGCTGAATGATGCATGAGCCATCTATGTAGGGCTGCCGTTTAAAATTGTTTGGAAGCAGAATACAGTGGTTCACCTTCCAACGGGGGCTGCACATAGCTCCAGAGTCTGCACTGACTCTCAATAGGTTTCCAGGCACAAATCAGGGTGATGGTTTAGGGACCTACAAAACCCTAAACCAGGGGTGGGCAAAATATGGTCCACGGGCCAGTTCCAACCTGCAGAGGGGCTTTATCTGGCTCACGGCAGGTCCCCTGGTCCCACCTGGCCCTGGCATCGTCCCACGGTGGTGCGTCCTGCTACCCCCTGGGCACACAGTGGAGCTGGGGTGGCTTCACACTGGACTGCCTTTCTAAGCAGCCACTAGCTCCAGCCCTGTGGTACTGTCAGGGACCCATGTGCAGCCCTGACTTACCCTGCAGCTGCGGCAAACTCGCCTGCTCATACTGAACAGCTGCAGCAACAGCAGTGCCGGTGGGGCAGAAACATGCTCGGCAAGGGGGAAAAGCAGCCCCTCCCCCTCAGCACTGCCCATTGTTTCCTGCAGCAGCTGCGCATAGCCCATGCTGCACTGTCTTACACTGTCACCACCACCTCTGGGCTGCTCTGCAGGGCAGCAGAGGCAGCGTAGAGGAGCCATAGGGCAGCTCAGCATGGAGATGCAGAGCAGTCATAGGGGCCAGGTCAGGGCTGTGTGCATGGTCTGGCTGCTCTGCTCCTGCTGGGGTCAATCCAGAGGGGGCACAGGGTGCACTGAGGCTGTGCACTGGTGGCAGTGGCGGGGAGGTGTGGCAGGGCGTGTGGCTCCAGGCTGTAGTAGTACTGGGGGGGGATGCTGACTCTACAGTAGTAGCAATTCAAGGAAGAAAAGAGGCTGTCTGTGAAAAAGTACAGCCTCTTTTCTACCTTGAATTACTACTACTGTAGAGTCTCCCCTACTCACCTTTGGGGTTTTTTCCCACACTTTTTCCCCTCTTCCTTTCTCTGCTCTACCTTTTGTTTTCCTAATTTCCACCTACTTACATTTTTACTGACATACAGCCACATTTTTAGCTTTTTTCATTCCTTGGAGTCTCAGAACAGCAGAGATTTCCTATGCCTGAAGAAGGGTGACTGTGCCCAAAAACTTGCAAAGAACTTTTTTCCAACTACTCAGTTGGTCTAATAAAAGATCACATCTACCCAAAGAGGCTTGCCTGCCTATGTCCTTAGACCAACACGTCTACAACCAAAAGCCCCGAATCAGTCAAGGAGCACAGGGAAGGAAGCAGAAAGCAGAGTAGCAGATGAGGCAGGGGAAGGAGATTAAAGTGGCACTTGGGGAGGGTACAGAGCTAATTTTGTGGCATGCCTGCCAAAAAGGCCCACTCCCTCCTTGCACTGGTTCAGAAGATCTGTTTTATGTTGATTTCCTAGTTCCATTTTAAATTGTTCTGTCCTCTTGCCACTCTCCTGTTGTGTAAGTTATTCTGTTTTCTTATTGTAAGCTGCCCTGAGCCTTTGTTGGGAAATGCAGCAAATAAATAAATATGTGTTTTCTGAGTCCAGTTTTTGCAGTCTCCCAAGCATGATATTCTGAGCTTGCAACAAACTCATGTCCATCCATCCTGTCTGCTGACTCTTTGTTTTGTCTTTTTCTCCTTGTGTCTGAAGGTTGGAGGCTGGAAGGGACCACGTTTTGCCCATTGACTATTACTTTCCGCCACAGAAGACTTGCCTGATTTGCGGAGATGAAGCTTCTGGGTGCCACTACGGAGCTCTCACCTGTGGCAGCTGCAAAGTCTTCTTCAAAAGAGCAGCTGAAGGTAATGAACCTCCATTCAAAGCATGAACAGAAGTAACAAATAAGTGCTCCAGCTTTGATATGTTCTGTTTCTCCAGGCTGGGCGGCAAAGTTTCACAATAGAAAGTGGCGTAGCTGTACAAAACTTCCATATGGATTTGTAGAAGGATTATGTAAGATCAGTCAGTGCAGCTTAAGGCAACACTGTGCAGATATACTCTCTACTAACTATGCCAAGCTAAATCAAGAACCAGGATGGTCATGTTACTGTGGTGCTCTAAGGCATCCCTCTGAGTTTATTTGTCTGCTTCCAGCTGCAGAGTTGGGGCATGTCTGTATTCCTCTCCCTTGTGCTAGACAGATGTATCCCGCATACCTGTCTACTGTTTGGTCTTTCTTGCTAGCTGTGAGAGAACTTCTGCGCAGAGTCCAGGAGCCAGCTGACAGATGGGGAGAGAGCATCACCGGCCTGCTTTGGTCTGAATTCTCTTAATCAATAAAAGAGAAACACCACAAATAGTTTGATTGCTCACCCTTTCTTTGTTGTTTCACGTTACACACCAGCCTCAAAAAAATACCCTTCATTAGAATCTGTGCTAGTTCCTAGTGCTTTTTGACACTTGCTTTTGGAAGTGAGCTCAGCTGAACTCTAGAGTGGCCAGTTCCCCTTCATCCATCTCACTTAAACACTACCTGAAGGCTCCCAAAATCCCATCTGCCCTCAAAGATCTTAGATTCAAATATCATGAGCCAGTAATTTTCGCACTTTCTTTCTCCTCCTCCTCAGTGTCACTTACTTATAGTGGTAGAACAGTCCCACTGACATCCAGATAATGGTAACGTTTTGAGAGCACCTGTATCAGTTACTGCTCAGGAGCTGTGCTCTGTCCTCTCTGCCTTTTTCCCTCCCCACCTCATCCCCCAACCTTCACCTCCTGGAAAAAATATGTGCTGTATAACCAATCCCTACTGATGCATTACTTCTCAGTCCCAGAGGGCCCTGGGTTAAATGTGGACCAGATGTTCCTTTTCATGAACTGAATCTTGATGCTATCTGTCCTTTATACTTAAGAATTATAAGGAGCTAGTCAGCCAGGCTATTTCTTTGGCCTTGAAGGTAAGGTGTGCTAGAGCTTTGCAAATATAGTAAGAAGTACACTCTCTTGCCAGAGGTTTGACATTGGCTGCTGAGCAGTCACGTTTATTTGGTGGACTTACTGCAGTAAATCACAGGAATGTTATTTTGGTTTTAGAAGGGCATGTAACCAGCAGTGATCATAATTCTGTAATAATGCTAAACTGATCTGCTCAGTGAACCAACTGCAAGTAATAAGTCAAATGACATCTTGGAAGATATTCCTGTAACAGTGAGACTCAATATTAGTAATCAGCACCCTCTAGCTTCTACTTTTGGCTTGACTTACTAGTGACATTGAATCTACACGTCTCTGTGCCTCACTTTACCCATCTGCAAAATGGGACTGGTGTTTCATAACAGAGGAGATGGATCAAGCTGTACTGTGAATCATAATGCTACATTGTGCCACTAAATTGTTCCTGGGTTAAGAGAAGCCTGAAACAATCACTGTTGTGTAGATTGGGAAAGTAAGTAATAGTTTAGTTTGGGTGGCTGCTGAATACTCTGACAAAGCAATTAATTCATCATAACAAACTGATGGAAACCCACCCCCCTTGGCTAACCCACCACCACCACAGTCATCACAAGGTCAGATTCTCCTTACACTGTGGCTGTGTGGGCCAGTATCTCGCTTGAATTCAGTAGGATAAGCCAGAGGAAAAACACAAGCCATACCATTCAGTGCGCTTAAACCAAGGAGCTTCACTCTCTGTACTACCCAGTCTTCTTCTCTGCTATTTGATCATACTTGGCCAAATAGTAACAGATGATCCATTTGACACAATTTCTTTTCCCTTGTTAAAAGACTGAATAAATCATTTTTTAATACATTTGAATATGATGAAATGTGTCAGGGCCTCAGCTGGTGTCACCTGAAACAGGCCTCTTGAAATTGTGTTGATTGAGATGAGGCAGGGATCCGACTGGATTTATCGAGTGACATCTTCACTTTTTGTTTTTGTGTCAGCTGGTTAAGAATTCATTCATAGGGGAAGCTTGCAACCATGGGATAAGCTTTGCCATCTCAAAGCCTGAGGTCAGGTATTGTTTTCCCCATTTGACAGAAGGGGACTGAGGCAGAGAAAAGCTAACCCATTTGCTCAGAGACATACAGTGCACAATGGTGAGTGAGATCTCAAGCCCCAAGATGCCCATTTCTGAGTGTGTCTATTTTGGAGTGGTGGGTTCTTTTCAGTTTATATCAAAGTCTAGTGTGCGCTTGCACAGCACTGGGTTTATACAGTGGGATATATAAGAAAAATAAACAGATCGGCAGTATGTTTTAACTAAGCATGTCAAGCAATACAAAAGCATATTCTGGCCATTGTGGACACATTCTATCTGGACAATTTGCAGTTAAATTAATAGTTGAAAAGTAGGTCAGATAAAAGGAAAGAGAAAAATTACCTCCCTCCCAGTATTCAGTATTTCCAGATGTAACGGAAACCAGCCAGAGCGCATCTCAGCCTATCACTTCCTCCTACAATGCAAGTGATAAAGATCCTTCAGATCAGAGGATTTCCTCAGTTGTACCTCAGATAGTCTCATTGCAAAATGATACCACAGTTCTACACAATGGGACCCCTTTGCCAGACTCAGAGCTGAAATAACAGGAGCCTTGTTAACAGCTGTTGTTAACTTGGCACTGAGTTTTGTTACCAGAGTTGTACAGGAAATCTAGGCCTGATACGGGGTGCTATAGACCAGATGTTAGGTGCTTTGGAAGAGATCTGCATGGAAAACTTGGTCTTTATCACACAGTGGTGTCAGCACCTTACTTGAATGAATTTACAAAATAATTAAAAATAAGTTTATTGCTGGTTTTGGTTCTGCAGTGGGGGGGGAGGAACCAATGAATAGCTCAGAAATATCTGTAAATTAGGATCATATAACATTTGCTACAGTAATAATTCTATCTCTAATTGTGTCTTCCACCTCCCAAGACTTGAGTCATGAAAATGAAATATATTTTGCTGACATAATATCATTGGACAGGGGAGCAGGAAAAGGGAATTGTGTCCAAGCGGAAAACCTCCCCTGCATGTTCAGCTCCCCAGCAGTACTGGCTCTATAATTGAAAGGCAATCACATAAATAAAAGTGTGTTTTCTGTTTCTGGTCCTGATCCATTTGTGTTTTTTCAGAGCAAGGCTTTTTCTGTAGTATCAGTAAAATAGCTGTAGTTAAAACCTATAAACTCTTTCATTGAAACCTGTCCATAGGATCAGGTGTTAATAATGGAAGCACCCTTTCTTCTCACATGTTGATATCTTCAACAGAGTGCTCTGTGGATATAAATGGATAGAGCCTGATTAAGTTTATTGGAGTTTTATCCAGTTATGCCAGTAGAAATGTAAGCTCCTTAATATACTATATTTAAAAGAGTCCAGATAGACACTTATGGCTGGAACCAAACCAAAAAAATGATGGAGCTTTATATCTTTAAGGAAGAGAATGTGCAAGTTTGCTGCCTCTTCTACAGATGGGAAAATGTGTAGGCCCCAAACAGGAGCAAATCACAGTATAGTAGCAATGCCTGGTCCATTAATCTGTTAAAAGAACGCTAGTCTGGCAGATACAGAGTCAATAGATTGCCTTAGAGTTTGGTTCTAGTTTGGCAAATGAACCACAGGTGAAAACCCTTAATGGGGGAGTAAAAAGTTAGAAGCCAGGTGTGAATGAAGGTTAATAGTCCCTGCTGGTTGGTCAAGAGGAGGGACCTGGAGTCTAGAAAAGCTAAGATGTTCTGCTAGTAGACTAATGCTGTTCATTTTTTTTTTTATCTTTGCTGTTCTCTGCATTTCTAGATAAGGCTTCTCCTGGGCTTTGTATTTTCACATTACAAAGCTCTATGTTCAAGGGCTTCAGATAGAGGCTCTTAAAATAGAGGTTGCTTGAGGATAGGATTAATATAAAACAATGTGGGTAACCTATGCCAGGATATTAACCCAGATAGTTGCAGGTGAAAGTATAAAGCAGGAGCACATTATGGTGACTCCTCAATGCTTTTATTAACTAAATCACACAGTAATGTATTTTGTGTGCCAAGTAATTAGAACTAAGGAGGAAGATGATATTTTCATGCATCAGCCTGCTGTATATGGATATACCCTAGGGCTATCTCTATTTTGGGAAGTAACTTTCTGAAGAGCTCTCATCACCTTTGACACACTTTAAAAAATACAGGCTAACAAAACTATATATGCTGCAGCTTCCCCAAGCTATAAAAGGTAGCCATCCTCAGTATTCAGCTAACTCTGCTATTTACAAAATTTAAGAAGGAGAAATAGATTGTGTAGCATAGCTTGAAGATCAACACATTCAGGTTATTTCTGAGGGGTGATTACTTACTGGACTCTTCTTATCATGGCAACTGAATATTGAAAAATAATGCATACAAACCACCAGGATTTCAAAAATGTTTGGGTATAAAAATTTATAGAAACAGGCCAGTGGAAGTAATGCAAGAGGAAAAGATACATTTTCCCAAAGAATTATAAAGAATGCCCAGGGTTTGTGGCTCCTTGCACAAAGAGTGTTAATGGGTCTGTGCAGTATCTAGTGCTTCCAGGAAAGAAAAGCACTCTCCTCTTAATAAAATCCTCACTAGCTCATTCTGCTCGGGAACTGTAACCTTGATATCAAGACATAGGGGCACTTTCTAAACAGGTATAAATCTTCTCCTCAGTCCTCCATCAGTAGTCTGGATTTATGAACGTTTTAAGGCATACATAGGGCCAGATTAAATACAGACTGGTTCCAAGATCTGCGAAGGCGGATTCTTCAATTCTGACGTGGGCTTCCTCACCGGAAGCTGAACAGTCTGGGATTTTCTTTTTCTCTGAATATTGTTCTGATCTGCCTCCTAAGCGGTAAGGAATCCAG